TATGGGATTGGACCATCAGGATGTAAATTAGAGCCCAAATTACGATCACTCCAGTGGCTTAGTATCAACCTATGAACCAGGAGGTCCCGGTTCGATTCCCGTCAAGGGCACAATAACCAGGGTTGTAGGTCTATCCCTAATGGGGGGACATACAGGAGGCAGCTGACCGTTGTTTCTGTCTGATCATAGAGGTTTATGTGGTGTGTGAATCCCTTGGCCATAATTCTCTGAACTAGTAAAGATATATGTGGCGGGGGGGGGGGGGTAAGGGCAGAGGGTGGGGTGAGAACCAGGTGGAGGGGAGCTATGGGGGAAAGAAGAGGAACAACTGTAATAATCTGATCAATAAAGATTTAATTTAAAAAAAAAGCAATGTCTCTTGCCCCTGGTTTGGGGAACTGACCCTCCCAGAACCTCAATATTTTTCCAATGGACTATTTTGGCCATGTGGCTTGCCTGGTTGCCACGCATATATTCCCCTTGTGTCATTTTCACCATTTTCTAAAGAAAAACCGTCTCGGGCCTATTCTATAGCATCCACGAAGAGATTGGGCTCAGGCCAAGAGGCCAACCAAAATCAGGTGGGGCGCGACCCCTTGAACTAGCCTTTCCCTCTACATGAGTATAGAGAGTCCCGGAAGCATCCCTAATTTGTGAGAAATGGCTCATCTATCCAAATTTCAAATGAGGGACTGGGAAATAAAAACATGGTGAAAATGAGACTTTTAAGAACACTCCCGAGAGTGTGCAACCATTTTACAGAATCACAATAAAGGTGAGAGGCAAGTTACCTAGTAATTAATGGGCTAACTTAACAGCTGTGCCTGGCTGTAATGCTGAATTCTCTAAAAGGCTAAAACTTCTACCGGGTGGTGGCAGAAGTGGCTAAGGGCTGTGATTAACTCCTATTATGCCTGATGGGAAGATCTAGAGTCACGCTCTTATGCCAGGAGTGGGAAACAGTTAGCTGGCTCCCCATTTCTTAACTCTCACCTAGAAGTTTTTCCCCAGTACCCTTACTATAAAGGCCTGCACAAATGGAGACTGAGGAGTTAAGCTTAGTGGGATCTGGACTGCGGATGCAGTGGTTTTGGCTGGGTACTATTTGACCTGATTGAGGTAGAAAGCAGAAGAAAAAGGCAGATGAAAGGAGCAGTGAAGGAAAGAGAGAAATGCCCACTTTTTAGACGACAGCCAAGTTTAAGTGCTGGCAGGCATCCATCAGCCTCCAAAGTCATACAAGAGACAGAAAAGGGACAGAGGGACAGACTCTATTGCTACTCACCATTCGACATGAAGAGGGTTGACTGACTTACTGAGAAATTCCTGGCCAACGCACCATTTGAAACAGAATTTTTGGACTGGAACCTGGATTCTTTGTCCGCTGGAGTCGAAGAACAGAATGGACTCTTTCCCTCTCCCCAGGTGGGAGTCTGTACTTGTTCTTCAATAAATTTCCACCTTTGCTATACTGCCCTCTGTCTGTGGATTCATTCTTCGACTCTGGCAGACAAAGAATCTGGGTTCCAGTCCAAAAATTACGTATCAGTGGAGGCCAAACCTGCAAAGCAAGTATGTGCCCTTGATCAGGAATCAAACCCATGACCCTTCAGTGCATGGGCCAACACTCTAACCACTGATCAACACTGGCAAGGTCCCCTTTTCTTTAGATGCCTCTTCCTCGTTCTTTTATTTGATAAACAGTTACACATGTCAATCAATTGTCTGGCACCAATTCATCTCCAACAGGAATCCCCAATTAAGGGTGTGGTGAAAAAGGAAACTTTTTTTTCGTGCAGAACAGCTAAAGTGTGATATAGCACAGCTATGAAAATAGCACCACTGTGAGGCAGCCTTAGGGCCAGGCAGGCCTAGGGCCAGCCCCTCTGCAGCAGTCAGCTCCAGACTAGGGAGTGGGAGATGCAGTCTTGAGTTTCAGTAGAAAGGGAAAGATTCCTTTCAGAGCCAGAGGGGAGCTGGCTATATGGACAGAAGTCTCCACCTCTGGTCCCTAATTAGTCTGTTGTCATGCAAATTAGGACTTCAAATCCTCACAGTTTGGTCCAAAAGGCACAGTCCTGATGGGTCAGAACAGAGCTGCTATGGTTGATTGTAGCTGCCACAACTCTGATTGGATGGGAAAAGCCTCAGTCCTATTGGTTGAAATAGGATTCCAGGAACTCCCTTATAAGGGCTTGCTCAGATAGCAGGAACACAGTTCAGTGCAGGCTTCTTCCTGAAGTGCAGTTTGCAGTAAGAGACCTCTGTGTAGAAATGCCTTCTAAGCACTTTGTTTTTTAAGTTTGAGCCACCAGAAGCCCTTCTTAGTTGGCATCTTCTTTCTCAGCGATCACACACAGAAAGAACCACTCCTCAATACTAATACTTTGTCCCACTCACCTGCCAAACTGGCCACCCCTCCATCCACTGACCTTGCCAGTGGCAAAGGGGACAGGAAAGATAAGCCCGTTACCCAGAGACCCCTCCCTCCTCCTCCACTCCTCTCCCCACAACTGTGGGCTGCCTGACTGCCTGAGGCGGGAAGGAAGCCTGCGGTTTGTGCAACAGGCCTCCCTCCCAAACCCTCCCTCCCCCAGGCGAGCTGTTTCACTTCCTCCCGAACTCCCCTCAGGCAGGGAGTATCTCAGTGCCCCACAGCCTTCGCCATGGCTGATACATATGCGGTGGTGCAGAAGCGCAGGGCTACTTCAGGCCCCGGGTCAGGGTCTGGGGCATGCAGCACGGAGGGAGCACCGCTCTACAGCCATGTGACGCCGGGCACCCGCTGGCCGCAGGCACCCACAGAGGAGGGGGCACAACTGGGCGGTGGTGAGTTGACAGGCCGGGGGAGGGGCTGGGGAGGGCCGGCCCCATCTCCTTCTGGGGACCCCCACAGCTGGACCCTCTGCCCCAGGAGATCTGGCCACCGCCTGGCTGCTGTCCACTTGCTGGTCACGACCGGAAGTGTCCCAGGCCAAACCGCAGGGCCTGCACTGGGTGCGCTTCTCCGGAAGTCACCTTGTTTGAGCAGAGGTCTGGGACCTGCCCCCTCCTCCCCTCTCCCTCATTCCCACCCCCACTCTCTATGGGAGCCCATGCGTGAAGACTGGTTTCCTGCCTGCAGTTCCTGCTGACCCGA